GATATGGCAGGCATGATACGATTTACTATGTAGTACAAAGAAGTAGTCTTTAGCTCGTTCAATCTTCTTTCACGGCTATTAAATTCCACCTTTTAAGTTAAAAATCTTATTTTTTTTCCTTTTTAAAATGTGATAGTAAAAGTCCCAATTTGATGTGATATATAGAACTTAAAATCGTTAAGAATGTAAAGATATTATTATTACTATTATTATTATTATTATTATTATTATTATGTTTTACTTATTTCATAGAAAAAATTAACACAATTTTAAAAATATTATTATCATTTGCAACATATGGAATAACTTATAAAAGACAAAGTAGTATAACTATAACATTTGATTATTTTGGGCATTTTATGGTATTTTCTTCTATTGTATTATCAATTATCAATTATTCAAAGAGAAATTTCCAGAAAAATCCTATAATTTTAGTCTAATTTATGAAAAAGTCTCAAACTAATTTTTGTTTACAGAAAAGCACAGAATACCGACTAAAACTTCGAAAAAACCTTTTTTGCCCGGTTTCAAAGATTTAGCTGGTATTATGTCCTTTTTCGTTAGTTTGCTCAAAATATTAGGATTTTTCTGAAAATTACCCGATAACCAAAATATTGAGAATTTTCTGAAAATTACTATGAAATTAATGGATATTATTATTAATAAATCATTTATAAACATATAAATTTTTTTAGTATAAACAAAGGAAGTATATTTTTTGCTAATCTCTAGGAATAGAATGGTCGACTATGTACTTTTCTATTGTTTGTTGATCACTTCAAAGTCCATATGTTCCTCATATGTATCGTTGTGGCTGTAAGTAACTTGTTAAGCGTGACCAATACAAGATTTGATAATATTTATTAATACACAATCAATAAGTGTATTTGCTATTAGGCATGACGTTATATAATCACATGTTATTAGAAAATATCATTACACAATGATTCTTGAACAATGCATAGGAGGAACATAGAGACTTTGAGTGGACAACAAACAATAGATGAGTACTTAGACTACCAATTTATTTCTAGAAATTAGCAGCAAATGTATTTCTTTTTTTATAATAAAATTTTTTTATGTTTATATATGATTTGTTAATAATAATATCCATTAATTCCATGGTAATTTTCAGAAAAGTCTCAATATTTTGGTTATCAAGTAATTTTTGGAAAAGTCCCAAAATTTTGAGCAAACTAACGAAAAAGGACAGAATACCGGATAAATCTGCGAAACCGGCCGAAAAGTGTTTTTTCGAAGTTTTAACCGGTATTCAGTGCTTTTCTGTAAACAAAATTTAGTTTGGGATTTTTTCATAAATTGACCTAAAATTGTAGGACTTTTCTGGAGATTTCCCATTATTCAATTCAATATCATATCTTTATTTTTGGTCTCTTCTTATCAAAGTATTATATATACACCCATCACAAGGAGGGGACGACCTCGAACCACATCAATTAACTTGATCGTTGAAACACGCTCTTTGGGAGTTTGGTCCTAAAATACCTTCAAGAATCAAGAATCTTTTATGAATGCTATGACGTTTGCTTGACGGACTCGATAGCAAAACAAGGACCCTCAACCCATTTTAACCAAGAAGGATTTTGATGGCCACATTAAATGCATACACGATGTGAATTCAGTAGCGAGTCTACAATAGAAACCTATGTGGTTCACAAACTAGGATTGATTTAAGAAAAAAATCAAGTTCAATAGAAAAATAACCGATACATTATGTATAAAAAACGGTGGTGAGAGAACCGTCTCCAAACTGATCATTCTTTAAGTTTTTTTTTTTTACTAAAATCAATTTAAATTTATAATAAAGCCGATTTATTAAATTAGTCATACATGATGTAATTTTTTTATAAGTGTAAATAATTACCTACACATATTAAAAAATAAACATATATGGGTAACTGTGATGTTGTACCAATATATAATATTTATTTATAAATATGTAAGCTAAATATATATACAACTTTCTATTAATCGAAAAATGACATGGTAAATTAAGTTATTAACTACATATGCATGTATAAACAAATATATCTGTGTAGCTAATTATTACTCACGTAATAGTCATTAATGAAATGTGTGAGTAAAAGGTTTTTCATTTTCTAAAGAAATAATAATATGGAAATCTATTTAAAAGTAAAACAAAAATGTAAAAGAAATTAACAAAATGGGTAAAATGGGTAGAGTCACAATCAGGAAATTGGGGACGATATACCCGCAGTTCTCCTCAAAAGCACAAAAGTCGATAAACAAGATATATATTTATTTTTATTATAATAAAAATAATAAAATAAAAAATAAAATAAAATAATTATCAATAAAAGACATATTCACATATTATAACTTAAGCATTTTTTTGGGCCCACGAGAACTAAAGTGGCAAAAGCCCATTCCCAGATGATTTTAATCTAACTTAATTGCGTTGCGTTCCTTTCATTTCATAGTTCGTCGTTACAAAGCTTCAGCCTTGAAGATTGACTTCGTTCTTTTTGGTTCCCCACCCATAATCTCACCATCTCGTGTTTTTTTTTTTTTTCTTTTTTTTTTTATTATTATTTTTTTAAGGTAGGTCCTTAAATTTTTTTTAAAATATTTCCTAAATGTTTTGGTATATAATTTATAGTATTATTTATAAAATTAGATGGTTCATGTGACCCACCTCGAATATATATAAACCCGCCTCTGTGTGAATTCTGAATTCAGGATGTGAACATAGTTGAAGAGTTTTGCATAAGCTTGATGTCATAAAAAAGACGACAATTAATAATAATTTGTTCTTTATGCCTTGTATCTTTTAATTATATTATATTAAAAATATTTTTCTGAATTTTTATTAAACTATTAAAGTGTTTTTTATTTGGGTAATTTTGTCATATCAGATGCCACAATAAAGGTAATATCATACTAGGTAGACCTAAATTAACAAATTATGTCGTACCAAGGTTCTAAACAACGTAAGACGTGACTTGGCGGCAATGTCAAGCCTCAAGCTTTTCCGAGTCTTGGCGAGTCACGACGTTTATAAGGCGTGACTTAAGACGGCAGTTTTATATATAATTAATATTTTTATATGTGTTTTCAACTATTATTTATTTTTATACACATATATGAGTTAAAGCGGCGTTTTGGTAAAACTTGGCGACAGGTGCAAGCCTTGGAACCATGACGAGCTTTTTAGAACCTTGTGTCGTACTGAATGTGACGGTAAATGACATGTATAGTATTCAATATCAATTTACAATGTTGAAATCTATTATGATTGTGTAATGAAAACTTAAAAAAAAAAAAAAGTTACCGAACTATTAAATATAATTAAAATGTATGTTGGATAAAACAAACAATTTAGTCTTGGTTGTCATAGGGATGTCAACGGATGTAAACGGGACGAGGAGTGCATCCTCCGCCCCCGCCCCCGAAATTTCCCCGTTCCCCCGTACCCGTCCCCGCCTCCGAAATGTTCAGCCTTCCAACCCCCGCCCCCGCCCCCGCCCCCGAATCCCCTTTATTACCCCCGCCCCCGCCCCTGATTAAGTTTGGGCTGACTTTTTTTAGGCTAAAATAAGTTGTTATTTAGGCTAAAATAATATATTTTTTAAGTAACAAATAATTATTTATAGCAGAATTTTACATGTTAAAAATAAAAAAGTTATGACATCTTAAAAACATTATACTAACAACTTAAAAACATGTTTTTTTGATGAATTTTGGATGCTCAAAATAATGTTATTTTTTATTATATTTATATAATTAATATATGTGTAATTTATTAACGGGGTCCCCATGGGGTTTCGGGACGGGATTGCCCACCCCGCCCCCGATATTTTTAAAAAAATCCCCCCAAACGGGACGGAACCCTTACGAGAACGGGGTCCCATGAGACTTTTTGACATCCCTAGGTTGTTATTTTATGAAATTAATCATTTTGTATATAAAAACATAACATAGTCAAAGGGTTTTGCATAAATTGATGTCATAAAAAGGTAACCAATAATATGCAATTTGTTCTTCATGAAACTAATCTTTTAATTGTATTCAATAAGTCATTAATTTTTTCTGGGTTCTTATTATGTCGTCATGGTGTATTTCAATTACGGTGTATTTCAATTGCGTAATCTTGTCATTGGATGTCATAGTGAACACAATACAATGATTAATGTCCAATAAACGGCCTACTGTATTCAATATCATTTTACCTAATTGAAATCTACCCTAACAATATAATAAACTATTTAATGATAACTTAAAAGAGTAATAAACTATTAAATACAATTAAAAAAATAAATAACATATATAACAAACTATTTAGTATTTGTTAGTATTTGTTGTCATTTTGTTATATTAATAATTTTTTCTTATTTTTTTCAAATTTTCAAAAACAATCCCTCTATTTATTAGTTTTATAGAAACTTGATTTATATTATTTTATTATAATAACTTTATAGTGTTCATTATAAAAAAATTAATAGCACATATTTTTAATTATGGCTATGTTTGGCGTACTAGCTGAAAAGCTAGCTGTTAGCTGAAAAGCTAGTTGTTAAATAAAAAAACTAGTTGATAGCTGAAAAGCTAGCTGATAAAAAATAACGTTTGGTAAAATTAGCTGAAATATATAAAATTACATAAAAAGACATGTAAGATTATGTGTTTCTATAATTAATTAATGGGTGTATTTGGAAAATTTTTAAAAAGATCTTAAAAAGCCAGTATAGGTAGCTTTTCAAAAAGTTAGCTTATAAGCTACTTTTTGGCTTACACACGAACAACATAAAAAAACTCAAAAAATAAGTTAGTTTATCAGCTAGCTGTGACGCGCCAAACACAACAACGTGTATTAGATTAATGGACTATTGACACGGACAATTCGTATCTTTTATTAACTCTTGTGTCGTGTGTCGAATTGTCGATCAATACTTAACATGGACAATTCGTATCTTTTATTCTCATCAATTTATACGTATTATTTATATTTAATAATTGTTTTTTTTTTTTAATTATTGAGAACTGCCAAGAAGAAAAGTCAAGAGATGGTTGAATGTTGATGAGTAAAGCAATACTGCAGAAGTAGATGTTAGGGTTTTGAAGTCTCACAAATTCTCAGCGAAATCAACTTACTGTTCCAGGCTTTAACGAAGAAATGAGAAGGACATGTTGCCATACATGTCTTGCATTCATTCTCAAATTCCTCAATCAATTCCAATTATTTGTTGGAATTTCGATTATTCTATACTCTGCTTATATGTTAAACCAGTGGAACAATCATTTGCCAATCCCTCCCCTTCCACCTTCAGCTCGTTCGCCGGATTCTTCTGATACTGTTTCAACGGTTTACAACACTGCTAGGGTTTCAGAGCAAGTGATTCATCTTAATTCTGTCTCTGGCATGATCAGTGGTACTAACGAACGGATAAAAGTCGATGACAGCTCCAGGCCTTCGCCGTGGTAATTTCTAATCTTCAACAAGTACTTTCCTGAAATTTAGATGTTATAAATGTAGGAATTCTCATTCTTAATGTATTTATTACAAGTACTTATATTAAATTTGATTTGTTTGTATCAATCTGATCGTTTATCGGTGATGAATTGTGAATTACATCTGTTTCAAATTCACTAGTTTGGCTTCCGAACAAATTAAACATAATGAAAATAGAGGGATTTCTGTTTTATTTAGGCGTGGGTCTGAGTAGAACATCAATTCACATGTTAAATTGTTGATCATCTGGTGCCATTTCCATGGCAGGTTCATATATGCATTTATGGGACTGGGTGTTACGCTATGCTGCATCTCTTGCACAGGTCATATTGCAGCTGAAGCTATTAATGGATGTTGCCTATGTTTCGTATCCTTTTCATGTCTTTTTTACTCTCAAATTTATATATGTTTTCTTTTCCCATAATCTTCATCTCAATGACACATCAAACAAGGATTACAGAGAAACATGACCATAAAAGCTTATGTTTTTGAATCCGATTCATCTTTGGAAACTTGGAACAATATTTTATTTAACAAGTAGAAAATGATTACAATTTATGTAATCAATATGCCTAATGTTGATCATTGTTTCCTTAAATAAATAATTGCAGTATTCTCTTCTGAAAATCATATTCATCCTACTGGAGGTGGCTTTCATTCTGTTCATTGCACTTGACCATCATTGGGAAAGGGTATAATACTCTGATGAATCACTTACAAATTTATACATATGTCGCTACAAAATTACTAAACTAACCACAAAATTTGTTAGGATCTGCCCTCGGATCAAACAGGAGAAATTGATAGTATTCGAGAATTTATTGAAGCAAATATGGACTTTTGTAAATGGGTTGGCATCACCATTGTTGTAATTCAGGTAAGTTTCTTCATCCAACATTGATCACTTTTCTTGATAATGAATCAACATATAGAACTTACAAATTGAGTTTGGAATTTTACAGGCTGTATGTCTGCTGCTTGCTGTAGTTTTGCGATCACTGGTGAATTCACAGATGAAATATGATGAAGATGACATTGAAAGAGATCCTGATGTGAGAGGGAAAGCTTGGGAGCCTCTGTTGAACCCAAAATCTACCCAAACACCAGTCTCAGTTAGTGGTGATGGTAAAGCTTTTCATTCTGACATATGGAGTTCACGCATGAGAGAAAAGGTACTTTGCTAATTCAAAATACTAAATACATAGATTAATATTTACATTATTATGAAATTAATTTGGTTGTTTTTGCAGTATGGATTGAGTACAAGTAATGGCAAGTAGACCAGAAATTGGAAGCAATTGAATATTATGGTGAAGGTGCGGCTTGTCTCAGTTTTGTTCAGGCATCAGTGTGAGGAGAAGTTACAATCTTTTCAATACTTGTGGATTTAGTTTGTATAGAAATATAGCATGTTGTGTCATGTGTGTGTGTGTGTGTTTTGATTTGAATTTTAAACCTCATTACATTTGTCTTAGACATTTATATTGGATCAATATTACATTTGGATTTTAAATAGAACAATTATATTGTATTTGTGACTCTTCTTACTCGGAACCATGTTGATTGGGATACCAAAGAAGCTCTTAATGAACTCTTGTGATGGTATCTTGCAGAGATTGGTGCACAATTAGTCCATTCAAGAAACTTGAATTGACTAAAAGACTAAAAGGGTTAATGACTTGTTCTAAGCAAAAAAACTTACACATCTTCACCAAAATATGCAACCAAGTGGATTTATTTTATCAAATTATACAACCATGTTTTGATTTATTGCCCAAGTTATATATATATTCATATGAGAATGGTAAAAAGGTTGAGAATATGAAATGATTTCTCAACTATTATATAAAAAATAATTAAAATATCAATGAATCAAAATGATGGTAATGTAATTGTAATTATAGAGAAAAACATACATTCTTATGTAATTTTAACATAAGACCTCAAAGGTAAATTAAACTTACTAATTAACAAGGGCTTGAGTACATAAATATATGAGTATTGGTAAATTTGGGCACATTTTGCGAGATGTGAAGAAATGAAGAAAGTGTGAAACAACCCTTAGAAATGGCTATGAAATACTTCAAGAAATTAGTCGATTCTTGATTTCTAAGATGTAGCCAAGATAATAAGGAAGACATAGCAAAATAAATTAGCTCATATGCAAAATTTTGTGTTAAAGGACATGGGTTAGATTAAAAAAGTATTGTATCTTCTTTGTACAAGGAAAGAAAACGTCTTCGTGGGTAATTGTTTGCCCGTGAAGTGCGTATAACAGCTGATTGCACGCAATTGCATTATGTCATTCTTCGATTTTAATTTATTTAGAAGCTTGTAGCAACGAAAAAGAGGAAGAAAGAGAGTAAATAGGAAGAAAATGGAATATGAATGTTCGTTAGGGTTAAAAAAAAATACAATTTTACCTATGTGCGCAAGGCACATGGGGACTAACGGAGAAAACAAAAGGTTGACTAACGACTGTGTAAAAAACAAACATGTGTTGGGACCTTCCAAGTTAAAATCCACAGCCTCGAAAGAAGCTCAGGTTTGAGTATGACACATAATTGGATTCTATCCTAACCCTGCAACACCATACCTTCATCTTACTCCACTGTCAGCATCTCTCCTTCAATGCAACTCATTCTGTCCAAAATAAATGCCAACTATTCTTCTTCTTCTTCTTTTTAAACTAGTTTTCTTTCTGTAGACAGTATAAACCAATTTGTACTCCTCTCAAACATTGAGCTCGTTTAGGATCTCAAACCTAAACCATGTTATGTTATACTATTATATTATTAAATAATATGATAATTAATAAAATCCAAAATGCGGACATACAATACTTGGAATACAATAACAAAGAAAGTAAAAAACTGTACAATAGTGACCCCCGAATTTGGACTGAAAATATATATATTTATATTTATTTATTTTGTACTACTAAACAGATGACAGCAGGAAAACAAAAGGCCGTGATTGTTGGGGAACTTCCGAGTTTTGTTGTTGAATAATACACATACACATAATTAATAAATCAAAGAGTGTAACCCAAAATCACTCAACCTAATAGTGTCAAGTGTCAACTCTTCCACCAGCTCTTCCACCAACTTCTCTTCTATTTCCTTCTTTATTATATCATCAATTTCCAACCCCAAATCCTCCACCCACCCCCGCCCTACCACCTCCCTCCTCACCACCCTCTCCACCGCCATGCTGCCGCCATCCTCGTCATCACCATCCCACACACACCTTTCCTCCCCTGATATCCATTCCTTCATCCGCTCCCACACCTGATCCACATGGACCCCACGTAACGCTTCGTTCACACAGTCAAACACAAGCCTCTCAGTTGACTTTTGCTGTCTTTGTTTTGACCGGTGAACCACCATCACAGGGTGATTATCGGTTAGGCTCATGCTCATGTATGTGTCCCTTAAAGATGGGTCCAGAGGGTTTTCCAGTGAGTTGCCATTGATTCCGGCGACTGATAGTAGTGTTTGAACATACAAGAAATATTCCTGCTCCTCTTCCTCTGGACTCCAGGTTTTACCGGGAAGGGGAGTCACGGGCCCCACACTGCACTCGTCCCATGATAAAGTCCTTGAAATTGATCCTATTGGCGGTGATTTATCGATTAAATTATTGAATTTAATCGGATCTACTCCTGTTAATACCACATAGAAAGTGCATGTTACAAAAATGATAAAAAGATACATTTTTGGTCCCAAAATGTTTTCTCTTGCAATTTTGGTCCTTATTTAAGGTTTTTAATGCGTCTCTGCTTCCAGTACTTTCGAGTAAAAATGACTAACTTTGGAACCAAAGCTATACTCGGGGACCAAAAGTAGTTAGTAGACCAAAAATGTAACAAAAACCTCAAATAAGGACCAAAAATATAATTTACTTTAAAAAGAATTAGAAAATAAAATACATTTACCATGTTCTTTCAACTTGGCACTACAAGAATAGACTGCTGTGTGGTCATCTTCTTCAAGTTGCAACTCCAAGACTGAACTAGGGCTTGGTTGCTCCTGGTTCTCATTTGCATTTCCAAAAGTTCCAAGCTTTATGAGAGAAAAAGAATTTCTTTTGAGAAAATTGATCCTTAATAAGCAAAAAAAAAAAAAAAAAAAATTAAATCCAAGTTTAAATAGAAAGCACACCTGGGGTAGATCATCAGCTGGACCTTGGCAAGATTCTTTCCTCAATGGTCCATTTACATCATTAATGCATTCAGATCCATCATCACCAATGCTTCTTGAAGATTGATGTTCATCATCTTTGTGGGATTTCTGTTTGCTAGACTTTCTACTCTTGGAGAAAAACAAACCCTTGAACAACGATGATTTAACACTTTTTTCCTTGGTCAAATCCTTAGTATCACTTTTTTTGACTTTCAACGACTCTGAAACTTGGCCCATTACTGAGCCAGAAGATACCGGAACAGATTTTGACCTAACAAGAGTATTAGGACTACTATCATCATCATCACCTTGAGCCTTGTTCACATCACCAGAAGACCCTTGTCTGTTTTCACAGTGTTCCTCTTTCTTCAAGTCAGAAAGAGCAAGCATTTCGCCAAGTGTACTGGAGCTTCTTCTTACATGTCTTTGTTCTTGAACACTTCCATTTAAAGACATGATTGCCCATCTTTCTGAAAGACGTTTCTTAGCCTCTCTACAAACAGAAGATTCAGGAGAACAAGATGCACGACTGAATGAAGAAGAAGAATATGGGCTGCTTCCAAAACGGTTAACATAATCCCATGAGTGTCGAGAAATTGGTGACATCACTTCTGAATCACTCAGATTCCCTGCTGCATAATAAACTTCGGATTTACTAAATGAACTTTCATCACCTATATAACCATTTGAAAAAACAGAAGAAACAAGGGTTTCATTTTCATCTCTTCTGAGGCCACTTTGTGTGGTGGTTTCTTTTGTATCTTCTTCAAGATCCCCATAGAATCCATCATCATTTGTTGTTGAAGGAGGTGAGGAGACACTTTTCATTTCATGAGGTGGCTGTATAGAGCTAGGTTTTAGTACCACAATGCGAGTTGGCTGAGTAGGGCTTTTGTCATTAAGTTTATAATTACAGTGACTCATTTGGAGAGCTTCATTAATCTGTTTTCCATTTTTGTTTAGCTTATGAGCATCCACCAACTTAGAAGGTCTGAGAACTGTGATGCGTCTTGAATCTGGAGGAGGAGGAGGTAAAGAAGACTGTAAATGGTGATGTTGAGAGAATAAGGAATTGGGTTCTTGAAGAAACTTGAGGAATAAATCTTTGTTTGAATTTAAAACTTCCAAAGCATCTTGAAACTGTTTAGACTGGCGAAGTTTTTCATTGGTTGATAAACGTTTTGCTTCCATGAACTTCTCACGTACAAGAGCCATGTTTTTCTCATTCTTGCTGTTGCTTTCTTTATGTCTTCCATTTTGGGGTGACTGCTGCCATATTTCAAAAACATCTTTACAGGATTGATTAATAATTTCATCATGTTCTCTTGTTTCCAAGAATCCATGCTCTTTCTGTATGAAGTCCAGTGATCCAGAATGGCTCCTTGATCCTCTTTGGTTATTGCTGCTGTATGAAGCTGAACCAAGTTGATGGCGTTCTGGAAGGGTGTCAAGCCCCATTAACTTGGCAACCAAATTGGATGGACTTTGTTTAGGAGCCTCTTCTTTTGACATTTCTTGTGCAATAAGCATCTTTATAGGAGTCCCATTTGATTTCTTCTTATTTGATGGAGACTTTGCTAATTCAGACAAAATCTGCATTGGTTGGAAATAAAAATCAGTATGTTTCATTATTTTGTCAAAGTATACAAGGCTCAAAAAGGCTCAATCTGAAGCAATTACCATTTTATCATTTATCCGATCTTCAACTACACGAGTTCTTGACACGTCTGATTGACACCTAGACACTGGGGAACCTTCATAGTGTGGTTTTTCTGTGAGCAGCCTGTTTGCTCCTAAACTTGTATTCAAATCAAAAAGATTCACCATTCTTCCCAAGCATCCAGGAATAGGGTGTTCCAGATTCCTATTTCTGTTCATCTTAACACCTGCTAATGAAAATCATAGAGTTTGTACTAAATTGAGGTAAAAAAATGAATGATGTAATGTTCCTTAACAATATGAAGAAACACATCCAGAAATAACTACGGATTAATCTATGTATGTATCATGAAGACATGGAGTAGAGAGATGTGGTGCTGTAAATTTACTAACGATTCACCTATAAATTTATGTGGTAGAATATATTGAAAGAAACAAAATAAATAAACAAATACAAAGTTGCAAGAATAATCACAGGAACATTACTATTGTTAAATGTAAAATTCCAGCATATTAATTAAAGAACTCACAAAATGAAAACGAATAAATAAAACCAAAACCGTCATATTCATTCACATTCACATCAATATTTTATCAAAACAAATCCAACACAACAAAGAAACCCTAATTTTTTTCTCTTATTGTATTTTTT